GGCGACTGGATTCACCAAGTATGCCTGATTCATTTTTCCTTCGCGCGCAGCAGGCAATGGATGATGTGTTGACTCTTTGGTTCCTACTTTGGTGCACATACCCTTCCCCCACCAATATCAGACGACCATCGGACGTATGAGCGAATCATCCTGATGTGGTGTATTGCGGTGTGGCCATGTACTCGGATCGGCCTCAACTGACTTCCTGACTTGCAGATGCCCACTTAATGTCGCGGCACGTTGGGAGCAGCGGGTGCTGCTCATCACCGTACAAATGAGCGTCCAAGTAATTGTTCTAGACGAATCATCGATGGAGGTGTCTGTAGTGAGGCTGCCGACAGACCTGACTGCGACATGATCACAGAGTTGATTTCCCGAGGGTGTACTATTTGTGAGATTGAGCGCTCCAATTCCTGTTGTCGATTACCCGAACTGTTTTCTTCCAATCTGTTAGACACCAAATATCTGATTTGTTATGATGTTCAAGATGACATTGTTTAAATAAAACTGACGTGTTATTCCACTTCTGTCTGTTTCGCTGAGGTTATCTGGGTTCTAAAGAGGGCAGGTTAACGTGTTCTACGGTGCGCTTGCTCCGCACGACATGCACTAGGACGTGCACAAAGCATAGGCTTCCGACAATAGACAGATGTGCATGTTCTGACGTGGGACTTTGCAGTGGCAGTGAGTCGCAGGTTTGTGGTCGGAGAGAGGCGTGGTTTACGAGTTGGCGGAAATTATGCGCAGGCTGCTATGGTTTAGCCTCAACTGTGGCCTATAATGATGCGTTTTGGATGGGTTTGTAGGTAGGTTGCTAGGGCGTACTGTGGTGGTGTTGGCTGGAGCGCTGTTTTTAACCCATGAACTGTTGCTTATAAATTTCCTTTGAAATTAACTGCAAACTGGGAGTAGAGCAGTATATTTAAGGTCTATAATCTCAGACAAAGGATTTTATGGCTGCTACCTGTGCTGTTATTATGGAATCACCTTACCTCAAAGTATACTACGAGCAGGTTGTACGTATTGGCACTGCATGTAGCTCGTGGATGCTGGGCGAGGCTTATCGTGCCCGGAATACCGCTTTAGATTGTGCATATGATGGGTGCAGGCATTGAGTGCTTGCGGAACTGCTCTCAGGCAACTGAACCCTGCGGTCCGCAAATTTGTCCTGCCAGCAGTTACCCGATTGGATTCGTGCTATGGCACACTCCCCGAAGGCAGTCTTAATTTAGTTTGTCCCAGATTGATGCGTAGGTGTAACCAAACAAAGAACTCTTCGCCTCTGTCACCCCGAACGCTGTTCATGCAGCAACCAGCACGAGCGAGGTAACACACTACGTCCAGCACCAAGGTGAATGAAACTTGACTCGCTTCGGTGGACAAATTTGTCTACCTCGGTTCTGCCATCTCGAATGCCATATCTCAAAGCAATGTATCGAATTGCCCCTTAGTCATACCACCTGCTCCTATTTCTCGTTGTCAGTTCTTTTCTGTTGCACATGACAGTCGACAGCAATAATGAAGCTCCGTTCCTTGTTGTATTCCGACCCAGAATTTGACAATGAACACTTTAGGTTGTTTGCCTGTTCCCGTCGTCTCAAACTGAGTCAGTATGGTCTGGTAGTGTCACTGCAAGCGCATTGCCAGTTCTCCGTTGGTCTGGGAAGCACTTTCTTTGACATGCACATTTGGACGATATTAGCCGAGATGAGAGCGCGAGCGAATTACGATTGCTAAAATGTCACTTTTACTCTGGTGGACGAATGTAGGGTGCTTTTGTAAGGCATAAAACCGTCTCCGGAGAAAACAAAAAATGTCCTGAACAAGGCTTAATATCTTGATTGAAGGCGACGCAGGAAGCAGGTGTTGCGAATGGTTCTTTCTCTCAAAGTGTCCCTTCGAAATGCAGGTCTACGTAGTGTGTCGGGCTGGGGGCACGTATGCGCGTGCTGTGGTGTGGGCTCGCATGTGGCCTAGCGATGTGCGCATTGGCTGGAAGGCAGCATAGGGTTGAATAGGCTCGATGGTGTCTGAATTTTCGGGGCAGTATGATCAGGGGAGAGGTGAGCTCGTGATTTATGTTGAGGCTGCTGCCAGTAGGTCGCCGGTCTATGTGCTCAGGCCGATGTGAGATATGAAAGTGGCATCACAATAAGTGACAATGTTGGAGTAACCACAAATGGTTGGCGGTTATTTCAACAGGGGCAATATATGTGGTGGTGGGGTGCTACTCGGGGTAATGGAGAGAATGACTTTGTAGAGTAAATTATTTCGAATAGATTGTAACGCATAACATAACAAAGCATATTGGCGGAAAAATACATTTAAAATTCTTCAGACATACTGCATTCTGCCCTAAACGCGTGCTATGGATTTCCACTACTGAATCTGCTGACTGAAATGCATTGTATCAAGTGATAATATTTGCCCTTAGTGACACGGGCACTCTAACATTAAGTCCCAGAGCAGCTGCGCCAAAATTAGCCAACCCTGCCGAATTAAGATGCCAAAAATAGGAATACAAACCCCGGACATGATAGAAAATAGGGCTAAGACAGCAACATCCACTTTATTCCTGGAAACACGCCATTTCCCTGGCAGAAATCGCATGAACATCACTAGAAGCACCGGTGGTATAGGTAAAAACGAAACTATGGGGCTGCAATATCCGTCGAAGACAGCTGGAGTGGGAGTGACTGAGTCTCCGCACCTGTTTCCTATAAACCGTCCAGGTTTCCGCTCCCGACAACAGCGTCGGCAGGATGATTGCCTTGTACGTCTTCAGCTGGGTGTTGAGATGGAGATCTTGACGGTTCCAGGCGGTGTTCTGCAGACGGCCGAAGGCTTGACTGGCTTTGGAAATGCGGCAGACAACTGTATCGTCGATTTTGGTGCTGCGGGAGAGGGTGCTGCCCAAATACATGAAGTTGTCTACCACCTGCAGTTAGGTTCCGTTCACGCTGATTTGCGACGCATTGTGGGGAGGGGCTGTGTTGGGTGACGATCGGTGCATGACCAGTCTTCTCCGTGTTGATGACCAGAACGAATTTATTGCAGGCGACGGTGAAGAGATCCATGCTCCTTTGCATTTCCCTTTCGGAGGTGCTTTTGAGGATGCGGTCGTCGGCGAATGCAAGTTCATGGACGGTAGTTGTGGATACACGCGACTGGAAGCGCATCCGTTGGCGATTGAGGAGTTGGTCGTCCATCCTGTAGACAATGCGGGTCCCGGGGCGTTCGCCACGGTAGGCGTCCATCAGCATGGCAGACGGCATAGGATTGAGGATGGTGGGCGCGAGGACGCAGCCCTCCTCCACTCCGTTGGAAACTGCGCTCCATTGTCCGTGACGCGTGCCATCATGCCCTCGCGGAGCTGACGCACCATCTGAATGAATCGTTCTGGACAGCCAAATTTCCACATGATTTCCGCAGTACTTCGCGATTCACAGTGTCGAAGGCTTTCGTCAGATCCGCATCTCCTGGGACGTCTCCTGCAGTTGGTGGTTGGCGAAGATCATGTCTGTGGTCCCACGCTGACGACGGAAGCCGCATTGGCTTTCCGGCAAAAGACCTTGTTTCAGGTGGTTGGTCAGGCGGTTGAGGAGAATGCTAACGAAGATCTTCCCGGTGATGTGCAGCAAGGGGATGCTTTGATGGTTGTCGCATAAGTGGTGGCTTCTTTTCCGCTTATTGGGGTGGATGATTTTGGCGTCCCAGAAATCCTGCGGGATTTCTCCTTGACGCCACATCTCCTGAAAGAGCGCCGTCAGATGATCCATGAGTTGAGACTCACCGCGCTTGTAGATCTCAGCAGGGATGGCGACCGATCCGGGTGCTTTTTCACTTGAGGGCTGCTGCACGGCCTTGGTAGTTTCGTGAAGAGAGGGCGGGAGGTCGCGGTCGGCGTTTATCTCCACTTGAGGCAGACAGGCGATGGCAGAGACGGAGATGGTGGAGGGGCAGTTGAGGATACCTCGGAAGTACCCGGCCCATCGCTGTAGGATGAGTGTTTTCTCAGTAAGTAGGATTCTGCCGTCGGCGCTGAGAAGATGTGCTGTACCGTTGTTTGACGAACGGTAAGTAGATTTGATCCCGGAGAAGTTCTTCCATTCTTTGCGGTCGGCGGACCTTGGATCTCCTCGGCCCTGCGAACCGTCCAGGTATCCTATATCTCGCGGAGCCGCTGTTGCACAAGAAGGTGACTACGGTAGAAGGTAACTCTTTTTTCGCCTCGGTGATCAGGTTGCCGATGGCGGCGGCGTCGTCATCGAACTAGTCCTGGTGTTGGCGGTGAGAACGACCGAGGACGGCCAATGTCGTCGACTGGACTGTGTCCCGTAGTTGACATCATCGGACCTCCACGGAGGCGTTCTCGCCAGCGGCGGAGGCGGCTGCAGCGACTAGAAGGTTGTCTAGCCGTTGGGCTAGCTCGCTGCTGAAATGGAAATGGTGAGTAGGCAAAGACAACAAAGCAATATTCAACCTACCTGGTGGTCGCTTATCTTGAAGTCTCCTGCGAGGCTGTAGGCGAATCCGCATCTTGGAGATGACGGGACGATGGTCTGTTCACCCGTCGGTATCCGCGATCGCCTTTGTCACCAGCACATCCCTCCGGTCTTGTCTCCGGTCGAGGACATGGTCCAGCAAGTGCCATTGTCGCGACCGAGGGTGTACCCAGGTGGCCTTCTCTCGCATGAGGAGGCAGAAAGAGGAAGCTAGCCGGGATGAGCCGATGTTGTGCGCAGGTTCGTAGGAGGAGCAGGCCATTGTCATTGGGGCCGTCGAGATCATGGAGACCCAGAACTCCTCTCAAGGAAGCATGGTCTGTCCGACTTTGGCACTGAAATCACCAAGGACAGTCGACTTATACGACTTCGACACAGATGCCAGGAAGGCGTGCAAGTTCTCATAATTTTTCCTTGAAGTGCCTGGACCGATCATTGGGGTTGCGTAGACGCAGACGATAGTGGCGAATTTGCCTCCTCGAAGAGGCAGGTGGAGGCTCATCAGGCGGTCGTTGATGCCCTGCGGCAGACAGGGCAGGCGTCTCACGATGACGTTACGGATGGTAAAGGCAACGCCTCAGTCCCCTCGCTCTTCCTTGGGGTGAACGTTCCATACACACACACACACACACACGACGGTTGGGCCGTTGATGCCCACCGTGTGCGCCACACGGTGAGAGAAAGGAAGGTGACTTGCGCGTGAGTGGGTTTATAGTGATAGTAAACTTTCGCCGCATTTACCCCACTCTCTCCTCCTCCAAAACCTGGAACCGGTGTCACGACGGAGTCAAGAAGACCACAGGCAAGGGAGGGCGCAGGTGGACTGCGCGGTCCAGCCCACACCTTGGCATTTCACTCCACACCCTCTGGTTCACACAACAAATGACCAAGTTTTTGATCGACGACAACTATGGGGCTGCAGAGGTTCCAGTGGGCGCGACCTTGGTGGACAACCGGGTCTGCCACCGCGACCCCCGAAATGTTGGCACTTGTTATGGTGCACAATCCGACAACGCCTGCCAGAATCCGATATGGCCCCCCGTGTTGGCCTAGCTAACTACTACGTGGCTCGTTTAGGGGGGGGGGGGCTTCACAGGAGAAGACATTGGTGGAAGGCCGCTTTATTCGCATCGGTTTGGCGGTCGAGGTAGGCGCTGCGCGGCTTGTTCTTCTAGACGAGCAAGTTACCGGTGGCGGTACACTGTCACCGAACGCGTCCTGGTGCTAGCGGCGTGCACGGCCGAGGACAACGAGGGCGGTCGACTAAACGGCGGCCCCTTGTCGGCGCCATTGAGTCTCCAGGCAGGCCTTTTTATTTGCTCTTGGCAGACTGCTGAAGTGCAAACTGTGAGCATGCAAAGACAAAAAACAGTATTAAGCTTACCTGGAGGTCCTTTACCTAGTGGCTTCCTGAACAGTTGCTGGCGGAGCCTAATATTGGACATGACGAGGCGGTGATCCGTCAAGCCACCGGCGTCGCAGATCATCTTGGTCATCATTACGTCTTGTTGATCTCGCCACCGAACTAGAACATAGTCCAGCAGTTGCCAACGCCGCGGTCGAGGGTGCGTCCCGGTGGCCATCTTCCTCATCGGGAGGCGGAAGTATGTGTTGGTCAGTAGGAGGCGTTGTTCAGTTCAGTCCGCTGGAGAATGAATTGCCGGCGATTTCGTGAGAACCCAACATTCCTCTCCAGGCAGCACAGCCTGTCCCGACTTAGGCATTGAAGTCGCCAAGGACACAGTCGCCAGGAGGACATGCAGGTCCTCACAGAATATGTTTCTCACCTCGTCAGTGCTAGTCATCGACGGAACGTAGAAGCTGACGATTGTGGCGAATTTGCCTCCCCGGAGAGGCAGGCGTAGACCCATCAGGTGATCGTTAATACACAGCGACAGCCAGGGTAGTCATCCTACGATGTCGTCCCAGATGACATAGGCGACGCCCGCGTCCCATCGCTTTGTCCTTGGCACCCGGTTGAGAAGAAGATGCTGCCGGCATCCTCCTCCTCCTCCAGTTGCCCTTGTTTGCAGGACCTGGTCTCACTGAGTGCAGCAATGTCCACCTTGTAGCGCGTCATTTCCCAAGTCACTAACGCCATCCTCCGATCCGGTCTGTTACTCCTGAGATTGTCTAGTACGGAACGAACATTACAGGCCGCCAGATTGACACAACTCCCCCTAGCTGCCTGTCGGTGGGGCAGAGGGGAGGAGGAGGTGGAGGAGTGGAAGAAGGAGGGAGAGATAGGGTATTGTTCCTCGTGTTTTAGTTTCGATCGCGTGTTTAGCAGTCTGAAAGCCACGGTCTGCAAGCAGATGTCGTGAGCCCAGCCCTGTTTACGGCACATTTTGTTGCTCCTTCCCCTCGTGAGTTAAAGCAGTGCTCTTCCTAAATAGGGCTGCTTAGTCGCGTCAGACGGACACCGCCCTCCGCCATGAGTCACTAGATTTAATGAGAGAACGACCATTGGCCTGGGCTGCCTACGTGACTGCATGTCGCTTTCGTCATACGACGTTCGACCGTGAGGAAAGAAAGTAAAGTGGAGCGTAGAGAAAGGTAAAAGTATGGGGGGAAAAGCCCGGAGGGAAAGGAGGAAAAATAGCGGAGGGAAGTGGAGGGGGAGGGTGCAGAAAATGTGTGAAGGAGTAGAAAGGGGTATGGAAGGGATGTGGAGAAGGTAGGGGAGAAAGTGAAGGAGAAGAATGGATAGAACATTATGACTGTATGGTGGGTTACACACGAATGCCCTCAGCCGTTTTAGTCCGCCGGTCGATACAGGTAGCAGGGTGAGGCCGCTAGAAATGCGTAACAGTTACTGGACACGATAGCGACGCAATATGAGACGTATTCCTCGTATTTTACGGGACCGGTGGAAGGAAGGGTTATACGGATGGGGCAAATGAAAGGGAAGGCGGACAGAAGGAATAGACAATTTGTACGACGATTGTTTTAAGTCGTAAGTTAAAATGGATCCTGTGTTACACTGGAAGCGGACCGGAAGACTGAATTAAGATGATATTTAACACCGTAACACCAAAGTAAACCAAATATGACGCCCATACCATAATGACGCTTAGGCAAGAGATCAGGGCAGCGTATAATCCAATGAAAATCCAAGGACGTAAGGCACTGAAAACCGCACAAGAGTAAAGCGTGAACGTTGACCCTAACGCACCATGCGATGCAACAATGTCCCAAATGTCCAGCAATGGTACAGTTAACCAATTGAACTTGTAAACCTACAGTTAGTGTTAGAAAAGTAAAACATTTAAATTTAAGTTACGGAGGCAATTGTCAGTTAAGTGTAAGTTTATTCTTATTTGTTGTTAAGATGGACATGGCAGCGTGTGATAGTAGTTTAAGAAAGCTCTGGCCGGTCAGCCATCTGATGCTGAGATTGGGTATAGGTGGCTGACGAGTCGTGTGACCTGCACCTCGGCGGGACATCACACGTCATGTGAGGCATTTGCTAAGGGATGCGCGAGATCTACGCGGTCTGCCTAACGCCTACCGCGCCCCAGTCTGTCTTCCGTCTCGGTACAGGGCCTTTAAAACACTGACGGTTGTGATGGCACATTTAATGAGACAAATGGTTGATGGCACACAGCAGAGTTTTTAGTTGATTATTGATGAGATAATGGCTCGAAAATAAGGCCCACCGACACAGAAACTGGGATCAGAGCTCGCCCTCATGCTCACAACGTGAACAGTTACTCTGGTCAGATAAAGTCTCAGCACAGAATGAGTGACATGATTGGGCTTCTTAGTTGGAGAACCAGGAGTCAAGCAGCCTGCGGCCCAAGTTGTCTCTCAGTTGCTCCACGTACTTGGTTTTACCCCAAATACATCTGATCAGAATGGCTCTTTCGTCCTCATGACCCGGCATCTCGCGGCTCCTCGTGGCCTCTCCGCAGTCCCGACAGCTAACCGTATCAGAAGACATTTGACGGCACGCGAAACGCTCCTGGCATACGGAAGTGTTCGCAAAAATTTAGAGTCGGTTGGATTGGGACCGTTATTCCGTTTGTGCATGCGTTGGTTAACGAAGTTGTACTTGTAGTCATTCGATCTGAGCACCGGTCGAGGGTATTTTATTTTAGTTACCTTATCTTTCGGTTACCTCCCGCGCGTCTCCACCCGCCATTATCCATCTGACTTCGTAGCTTATCGCACCTCTGATGTTGAAGCGCAGGACTTGCGTCGTAGTTGTCGATTTCCTGAAAGATCTCGTCTTTAAATTTCCACGGTTCCAAGAAACATAAGGGAGACCAGTTTATTGTTTTCGTCCTCCTCCATCATGAATTGCATGTCAAGACAGGTGCTGATTTCGGCACCAGATCCAATCCATGGATGGCGAAGGAGCATTGCACATACCGAAATACCTGGCTGGATATGTTGATGACACCTTTGTAGTCGTTAAAAGGGACTAATTGCGGTCTGGCCCGTTACTTCTTCTAATTCACTCCAAGAGTTCAACTGTAGTGGTCGAAGATGCCCACCGTGTGCTCCACAGCAAGGTGAGGCAGATACGGTGACTTTTGCGTGATTTAGTTTATGGTGGTAGAAGATTTGCATAACACCTACCGCACTCTCCCCCCCTCACCACCTGGACCCAGTGTAAAGACAGAGTTAAGAAAACCGGTGGTGGGGAGGGCGCAGGTGAATGGCACGGTCAAGTCTGCACCTTGGCGTTCCACTCCACATCCCCTGGTCCACACAGCAAATGACCAGGATTTTAGCCAACAAAAATAATGGAGGCCGGCAAGGGTCCCAATGGACGTGACGACTGTTGACAACTGGGCCTGCTACTGCATCCGGGAATGTTGACATTTGCTATGGTGCGAATTCCAATAACGCCTGTCTGAATCCTATATGGCCCCCGTGGTGGTCCAAAGTATCTGTCACATGAGGATCCAAAATTCGCTACCACAGCCCACATCGACATCGCAACTTGTAGCATATAGTTCTCCAAACACGTCTAGACATGTAACAGTTGTAATTGGCTGACAGCTCGGTCGAGCCACAGGATGTCCTCCAC